GTGTGTGTGTGTGTGTGTGTGTGTGTGTGTGTGTGTGTGTGCAACTATGTGTCTGTCCACGGCTGATTTAGCATTCTGCTGCAGCAAACTGCATAATACCTTCAGCCAGTTATGGCTGCATGCTCAAGAACCTCTCGTGGTTGCGGTGACTCACACTTTCTCAAAATAACTTTCATTGCCGGTTTTATACTGCCATCGACGGCCTGCTGATTTGTTTTGGACGGTGCGTTTGGCTATCAGCTGACAGAACTACCAGTACACACACTTTCGAGTACATCGCCGCAACTCAGCCTCTGCTACGTGGGCAGACAGCTGGGTGAGTTTAATTCTGTTTTGGTAATGATTGTATGAAATGTCTTCCAACAACTTTGAGCAAATTGCCTGCATATGTCACAGCTTGTCTTTGCGTTTGAATGAGGTGTCTTTTGCGACGTCTTACAGTCCACTAGATTTATACCTGGTATTGCTGTCCTCTCTCCCATTTTTTTCTCACTATACTGTTCTCCCTCCCTTATTATTATTGTTGTTATTTTGCAGCTCCTCTTCCTCCTAGTCTTTTGTTTTAATTCCCATCACTGTGCATCCCCTCTCTCTTTTCTTTCTACCCTCGCTCTCTCTCATAATGCTCTTTCAAGGGATGTGCTTGGCTGCTGTTACTTCTTCTGCAGTGATTGAGTTTCTTTCTTTAGGTTTTAATCATTCACATTCCACCCCCACTGCACGCTTTCATTTCTTTGTAAACTTGGTCCGCCCACAGCTACCGGTATGTTTATGGCCTAAAATTGAATTTCCTCTCGGCAATCATTTTCCCAGTATATGGGGGGAAAGTAGCTTGGCGTTTTCTTGAACACTTAAAGCAAATGGATCCTGTTTCTCCTTCCATCACTTAAACACCAATTATGCCTTCCTGCTGAGAGTTGGCTACAATAACATGGCCATAATGCCCAAGTAGTGCAAACAAAGTGGTATTTATTTTTTCAAAAGTTCACTGAAACCAAGGGCAAAAATGAAAGCCAGTGAAACTTAACATAACTGAATCAAACACCAAACAAAAGAAGGCTGCAGCCTCCCAGCAAGCTGTCAACTCTTCTGTCCCCTTTTGCTCCAGTGAATGGCATTCTAACCTTCTCAGCCTCACCTAACTGGAACATACCACCTGCCCAGGTAAGAATAGGGTGAACTCAGCAGAGTAAGCATTCAAATCACACAGAATAATGAACATGGCATTAATACATGAACTCTAAGCTACTGCTGACATCTCAATCTATCTATGGGCACCCATTAACACCAGTGAGCACACAAAATATTGTAGAATGGGATTTACTGCAGAACTATCTTAGCCATCGTACACATCTTAACAGGGCCTCTCCCTGCTAACAGGACATAATGAGGCAAACCTGTGGCCACTTTCCTTGATTGAGCTGCTACGTACCCATAAAACACTCAACAAGCTTGTGTCATTTGTTCATATACTGGAACATTAGACTGAAATTAATAATCAAGCACAAAAAAACCCCACTGTTACTGTTGGGCCTGGTGAAAAGGTAGAAGGCAACCTTTACACATTTCCCCTTCCCCTGCGGGGCAGGGGGGGCTCATCATCAGGGTGGCTAGACAGGAAGTCAGCCACGACATTGGCTTTTCCTGGTCGGTACTCAACTTGAAACCGGTCTAAAACAGCCATCTAGTGACCCCATTGTTTGAGTCTTTCATTTTATGAAGCCAATGCAGACCCCGGTGATCAGTTTCAAGGATGGAGTCTCTGCTTAACAGATGGCCAGACACTTCACCCTGAAGCCGGACCGCTCCCAGGGCCTCTTTTCAGGGGCACAGTCATCTACTAATGCCTTTCATGTTGATAAATATGAGTGGACAGTGACAACCCATTCGTTTCATTGCCTACATATTTATTTATTGTGAACATGTAACAAAAAAGTTAAAAAAACAAGAATAAAAAATAAAATTAACAGCAAATTCCCGTAAACAACATAAATTATTAACATGAACAACTATTGCATGTCCGAAAAGAAGTAGGAAGAATTAACTCAATATTCATTATACTTTGTGACTGTCCAAGTTTAAGATGATGTCATACTTTATTCCACGGCGGGGACAGTAACAGTGTTACAGCACCAAATGGGGTGAGTGCAATAACTACACGCATCAGTTAAAAAGGACACCATAGTAATTAAACCGTAAAAAGCTAAAAGATAACTGAACGGTTAAATTGACATTATGTCCATAGAAAAAACTGATATTGAACAGTTTAACAGTTTTGTTTTTTGCGAGCAGTGTTGATTGTAAAGTGTGACAGCAGTAGGAAGGAAGGAGAGTGACTGAAGGAGCTGTTTGTATAACCTGCATTATATATTTATAATACTTTGGTTTCGAACCAAATGCCTGCAAAACTAGTGACGTTCCCATCAGCCTCAGCTGTTCTCGGTTGTGAATTCTTCACAGACAAAGACGATAAAGTTACGGAGCTTTTATTCTGAAATTGTATTGGACGGTAGATCTTACGTAGGACCAACGGTCGAATCAGATCAAGTCATTGACGATGTAAGTGATAGAAGTGTAAATTGAAATAGAAACCCTTTTTATTGTCATATACACAAAATTTGACCCATCCCTGTATATAGGGAGCAGTGGGCTGCCAATGACAGGCGCCGGGGAGCCGGGGGTACAGTGTCTTGCTCAGGGACACTTCGACACGTGGCACATCCCAGTCGAGGATCGAACCGTTGACCCTGCAGTTACCAGACATGGCTGTGTGACACTTCAATCTTGTCCAAATTTCTACCAACAATGCCATGCATTTTTTCTACCAACAATGCACGGCACATTGCCGGAGTGCTATTCCCAAAACTTTGCTTATGTGTCACGACCAGGGTGTTTGTGTGTCCAAAGGTGTGTACCAACCTGCATCCTTGCACCTTTGTGAGGTGTCGTATATCGTGGGAGAGTTAAGAGGATGAGGGGGTGTTTGTGTTTTGGCTTATGTGTGTTTGTGTGTGTTGCCTTTTACTGTATTTGAGTGTGTGGGAATTAAAAGTTTGATATCATGAAACCCTATAGAAGCCTGTTTCACAGGAGCACACGCACACACACACACACACACACACACACGAGTGCCTTTGAACAGAGCACCAATGAAGCAAGTCTTTGTGATTGTCACGGAAATGACAGATGTGACAGCTGGAGGGAAGACTTGCTAAAAGTATTATGGGGTGTTTGTTGTGTGACAAGTAGAGCGTCCCCTAATCTTGTGCCTGTTTACTGTTCTCTCCCCACAGACCTATCTCCTGGGAATCATAATCTCCATATGTGGGAATATGCTCATCAGCATTTCACTCAACATACAGGTAGGAAGCGCTGGGATCCAGCTGTACAGCAAACACTCCAACCCAGCAGGCACTTGACGCCTGTTAAGACCCTTTTTCTAGTCCTTAAGCACTGACGGACTCTCTTTCTCCTGACAGTTTGCTCTCTCTTTAGCAGACTCCGTCAGGATCTCATTGAATGCACATGAATGTCTGTGTGACTTTGTTCATGTTCACAGCAGCCATTGTGCAGCAGACAGCAGAAATGACCTTGTCTTTAGGCAATAAAGCTTTTTGAATTAGAATTGATAGAATTGGGCCAGTTGCATACAAATAGACCTAGTGTTGATTATATCTTTAAGTCAGACTTGCTAATGCACTTAACTTTTCCTGCAGCATAAAGCTTCCCTATGAGTGACTAATGAAAGACTCAATTCAATAGCCTTTCCCACAATGGGTGAAATAAGACAAATCAATTCAATTTGGTTCTTTTACATTGAAAAATGGCAGATGCAACAGCAACACCATACCAAGAATGTGAGACAATAACTAATCAACATTCAATGGTTGTTCGAACAGTTAAAGATGTACAACAATTCAAGAATATGGGTATTACAAAAGTAAAGCTTTATAATGGATAAACAGCTGAAATATTTAGCTAATAGTTAGCTAAAAGTAACAGATAAACAGATGAAATAGTTAGCTACTAGTTGGCTAATAGTAATGGATAAACAGATGAAATAGTTAGCTAAAAGTAACAGATAAACAGATGAAATAGTTAGCTAAAAGTTAGCTAATAGCAATGGATAAACAGTTGAAACCGTTCCCATTGCGCGATACACATAATAACAACATAGTGTCTTTTGCTCTCTCTGTTTAGCACATGCAAAACCTCCTTTTGATGCAGGTGCAGAGTGTTTGTGGCAGCAGCAAGCAGGGTGTGTAAGACAGATTGAAAGGGCCTGACAGCTTCAACTTAATGTGAAAAGTGCTGGAAAAGAATGAAAACCATTGTTTATTAGCCAGTGTTAGCTTGTGATAGAATTGTTAATGATTATGAGGTATACATTTGAGTTTGCCTTGTATGGCCTCCCACCTCATTGATTTGCTTAATTAGTGTCATACCACTTCCGAGGTGAAATGATAATCAGCAGACAGTGTCATGGTGTGACAGCCTCTGTAATGCTGTATCAAATTATAAACTTGCCCATATTTTTCAGATGTAATATACAGTATGTGGCTGTGTAAAGCTGTAAAGTTATGTATGAATGTGGTGTATGCTGTCTTAAGCAGCTCTCCAGATCTGCTGAATCTGACTGATGCCTCTGGCTCCCGTTCCCTCTCTTCCTGACAGAAATATGCCCACATCCGTCAGACTCAGCGAGGCTCCAAGCCCTACTACAGGTCTGTGGTGTGGTGGTGCGGTGTGGCCCTCATGGGTGTCGGGGAGCTGGGGAACTTTGCTGCCTACGGCTTTGCCCCAGCATCGCTCATAGCCCCGCTGGGCTGCGTGTCTGTCATAGGTGAGTGCGACCTTTTTCCCCCTCATACATTATTCATGCTCGAAGGCCGGAGGAAAGGTTGCTTGCTCTGGGAACAACAGGAAGCGTTGCCTTGCTGAAAGTCTGTCAGGTATTATCTGGGGGGAAAAAAGCTAATTCAGATGCATTATGAATACAAAAAGGGAGCTATAGTACAGAACAGATAGGACACATTTCCAAACAAAGTCTCAGTGACTTTTTTGTCACTCCAAAAACGAATAAAAAAGAGGCATTGTTGAACTTTCAAGCTTTTCACATTTTACTTAAAAACCATTATCAGTAACGGATGGATACAATTTTGTCATGATCCCTTTGATAATTTCTCTTTTGGGAATCCCTTCCACACCAGTTACCATTTACTGGAAAACTTGGAGAATCTAATCTAATCAAAGAGGTAAAGTTTACTTAACAAATGTATTTCAAATCGATATATATACATACAGGTACATGCATGAAATTTGAGCTATGACTATATATTCATATGTTTTATATATTTGGTTCAACATGATTTAAAGTTAAACCATGGTTTAATCAGGTTTAAAAGAAGGAATCCTCAGAGGTACAACGCAGCCTAAGTGCCCTGTAATACTGATTACAAAGGCAACTCCAACTGAAGTCTGCCTAATAACCAGATCAAGTGAACATAAGCAAACAAGGTTAAACATCTGACTGATATGAAACGTCCTGTGAAAATGGATTTCTGGACGCCTGGAATGATTTTGCAGTAAATTCATGAAAAATGCATTCGTTTCATGCAGTAGTTCCATATTCACTTGTCACCTCGATAAGTGTTGAAACTGCAACAACGCCTGTCTTTTTTGGTGGTACTCACTTATGTATTTTAAATATCAGTGCAGTCTCTTGGTGTATAATTATGGACGAAACAAATCTATACAGCACCTTGTAAAAAAATAAACAGGACATGAACATGAACTACATTAATAAAGTTCTGTATTGACAGTAGTAGTAGTGCTATTTCCATCCTCACGACTACACGTCTATGCTGGCGAGGCTGATGCTGTGGCTCTCTGACGCACAGAAACTTTGCTTTCATAAAGACACTACCAGCTGTCGCTGTACACAGCCTCACACAGCAGGTCAGTGTGTCGGTGCATTTTTATTCTTTTCCTAGTTTAAGATGAATATATACATTTCCACCCTTCAACTCTCATGGGTGAGCTCAATTACTTCTGACTTTTTTTTTTGAGCCCACAGTGTGAACTCAAGCTGTCATGAGCTCAGCCCGATTCATTAGCCAATCAAAACAAAAGCCAGCCCGGCTGTAGCAACCGGGCTGGTTGATCAATGCAAACACTTTGAACACGGGTTTTAATATTGAGCAGGCCCGCTTCCTGCATCGAGCCACCTCCTCACCGCGCCGGAGGAGGTGGCGGTGAGTCATGGATATAAATGATATAAATGACAGCTATCACACCGACGCTTCTAACCATTTCTTTCCCCACGGTCACCTCTCACCAAGCAGATGAATGGTGTTAAATAAAAGCGCTGAACGAAAATCACTAATCTCGCTTAAGAAGGCTGCTCCGCTGTCGTTATGTGCGCGGCGTCGTACTGGCTTCAGCGAGCGGTGACCTCTCGGTGAACAATTACTGTGCTCATTTCCCTTTTGCTATCATTATCGACCCTATGAAAACCGCTAATTGCTCGACACTAGGGTTGCTTTGCAGTGGGCGTGAATAACGTGCGGCTGGAGTATGTCTTGAAGGAGCATCTATTTTTTTCCCATTTAAGTTTTTATTCGTCCAAACATATCAAAATCATACACAGATACAAAAACTAGGCCTGTCAGACTGCAAAAGAAAAGAAAAAGGAAAGACGATAAATAACCATGAAAATAATAAACAAAACCACAGAATGAATTACATAAAATAGAGAAATAAAATTTACATTCATCACTTAACTTAAAAGGCAGCTACAAGAGCTCTCCCCCCCTCACCCCATTAATTATCTTTCTCATGTACCTCCATATACATGCCCATATACCTCCATATCCATACACGTAAATCCCATACACAAGTACTCCACCCCTCCTCTAAGATTGTGAATCTGTTGTATAAGCCATCAGATTTCCCCATGCTTGGTCAGTTCTGCTTGGAATGTTCTTTACCCTGGCAATCATATTTTAAAATGCAGCTGTCTCTGTCATGACTTTGAGCCATTCTGTGAACCCGGCCATATGTGGGCTTTTCCACTTTAGCAGAATAAGCCTTGCTGCAATAAAAGCAGTTAATGACAGGCTAATCTCTGTTTTGGTAAGGCCTGGTGGCATAAGCGATTTGTCTCCGAGTAGACATAGTTGTGGGGATTCAGGTAAAGGCCGTTTGAGCCACCCTTCTAGTTTCTTCCGTAACACCTTCCATTCTAGTTTGAATATTTGACATTTTCCTCTAAAATATAGAGGCAGAGTGTCATGTACAGGAAGCACTTAGAAACTCTTGAATCTCATTATCTTCTGCCTCTTCTCTTTTCAGTCCAAACACTGACCCTATGCTGCTCCTCAACAGTCAATACTTCCAGAAATCCTCCTTCTCATTTAAAATAAATGTTTCTTTAAGGTCCTCAAATGATCTAAATGAGCCATCTCCATAGAGATCTTTGCCAGCCATGTATCCCATAGAAATCCCTGATGAGAGGGTTATTCCATATGGAGGAGTAGCTTTCTTTGTATTGAGAGATCCCCAGAATCGTGTGTGCTCTTGCCCATGCCCACTGAGAGTGTTTTAAAATTAGATTTCTTTGTTTTGTTGTGTTTTTGTGATAACCTGAGATGGCGCTGTCAGTACCCCCTCCATTTTTACCCACGTGGGGTTAGATTCATAATTTGCCCAGTGCCGCTCTAGTTTATTCATTTCAAATGCTATGTTATATATTTCCATATTTGGAAGAGCTAGTCCCCCACTATCTCTTGAGGCAGAGAGTTTTTTCATACTAATTCTCGGCCTTTTGTCATTCCATAAAAAACCCTTAATTAGATGATTACATTGTTTAAAGATTCCCTCGGAAATGGTTACTGGTATCATCATAGAGATGTAATTAAATTGTGGAGCTACCACCATATTAATGATATACATTTTTCTTTTTTGAAGGAGCATCTTGAAGAATTAATGAAGGGAGGGGTGAAAAGGAGGGGAGTGGATGACATCTGCCCCCTCAGGGCTAACAAGTGGAGCCGAGGGGAATAAAAGAATGTGCAGGTTGCTGTCTGCCGTCGGGACTCCCTTCTCGCCTCACGCTGAGTCGCATATTGTACGCAAATGAGCAGACACACACAGAAATGTGTGCATAACTGTAGTGGTGTGTAAACACAAACCAGGTCTAGCAGGTTTTCTTCAGACCACAGACGCTTATCACACACACACACACTTCCCGCGGCGCTGTTGTGCCTGTTTTCCAAGAGCTGCGCAAAGGCTCAGAGGGAGGGAGGACAGCGGGAGGCCTTGGATGAGTAAACAAGAGGGAGGCAATTGGTTGAGGGTAGAAGAGAGGAGAAAGGATGGTGAGGTGATGGGAGGGGACAGATTTGAATGAGAGGAGACAACAGGCAGAGATACCCAGTGAGAGGAGCACAGAGACGGGATTGGGGGAGCAGATGATGCCGCCGTCATCCGCCTCTCACCACATGTCACGCCGACACTCCACGGCGAGCGATTACCGCTGTCTCCATCCACGGAGCCCACCGCTCTCTATGAGGAATGACAGCAGCGTCCCAAATGTTTGTTGTGTGAAGCAGAGCATCAGCTCTCTCTCCGTCAGATGACAAGTCATCACATGCAGAGAGAGGAGGGAGGGATGCTGGAGATACACAGAAACCTGATCCACTCACTGCATCAGCATTGTTCCCAGATGTCACCCTGCAGCACTTGTATCATTGAGTTAGATGTTGCTGTCGCTGTGTGAAGTCGTCTGTTTTCAATCAAATGAAATAGATCTTTGGCTTTCATTGGGAATATGAAACCTGTGAAAATGTATTCAATGTATCCTCCTACAACGAGTCGTATGATATCTCACAAAAAAGTTACTCCTCTTTTTTTTACGTTTTCCTATGAAAGCCCAACATTGTGTCAATTTCCCCTCGTAACATGCATACAGTCTTTTCAAAATATACGTCACAGGAAACAATTCAGTTAGGTCGAGGCATCAAAACTACTTTAAACTCAAATCTTGTAATACTTGGTTAGGTTTAGGAAAATATCTTAAAATACTAAGGAAAAAAAAGATTAAGTTTCGGTAACAAAGGTAATATTGAAGTTACGTGACAAATAAATCATGGTTGACGACTCGTTTCACACGCGGCAGGAACAGCAGTGTCCTGGCTGAAAGACAGATGTTTGTTTGATCCGTCCTACAATACTCCCGTCCATCCGCTGTGGGGTTTTTTGCAGTTTTTATTCTTCCTGGTTCATAATTACAAAGATTACATACACATTGGTTTCTTGGGATATCTATGAATTACAGCACATTTATTTTGGTAGGTAGGTGTGAGAACAGCCTGGTTACTTCACAGAGTTTGATTTGTCCTTCAGGCTCAGACTAGCACATTTCATTTGATAAGATCTAACATTACATTTAAAAACACCTGTACAGCATCTACAGTATATGACAACATTTAACAATTTCTGAGTTTGTTAAAGCCGAGCTCAATACTCGTGTCTTCACGGGACAAGAGAGCCTTCAAAAGTCAACATTTGTTTTGAGACATTGTGAACAATACATTATGTGCAGCATGGCAACACTTCCTGTATTAGATCCTCTCTGGGAGATGGCAGCTCAACTTTCACTGCTTTCATCCATTCATGTCAGATGCGTGTGGGGGAAGGATGTTTGACACGGTGTGTTTTCCCACAGGGAGGGTCCCATTACTACACATCTGAGAGAGCACGCAGAGTGGCAGTCCACACGCGCACACACACACACACACACACACACACACATCCATAAACACACTGGAGCAGTGACAGACCTGTGTACCCCAGAGGTTACCACATTCCTCATTTTATCGAGCCGTGTGAATCTCACTTCGTACGGAGTTGCTATGGTTACTTGTTGGATCCAGCCGGCCCCAGAGGCAAAGAAGGATTCCTAAATGTATATGCGAACATGCTCACAGTATGAAATATTGAACAAGTGACTGTTTCATCAGAATACCAAGGAGAGTCTTTATAAACTTCCAATTTGACAGTAATGTCCCCGTGGCATCATGCACACCAGGCCTTGTTTTAAATGTCTCCTCTGGAAGACACTCCATCAGCATGATGTTCTTCAGAGTCACAGACACTGAGCACACTTCAGGGGAAATTTGGCTTCATTCAACTTGAATTTTTCTATTTTTTTCTATTAGCTCAGGTTTATTACCGTCGACTAAAATCGACCCTCGGCTTGAAGCATTTCGCTAATAAAACTGCAATCGTGCTCCACAGTCAATGAGTAACATCCATATTGATAAAGTGTCTGTCATGCCACCACACCACAGTAATCCCGAGAGTGGCTCGCTTGTGACTCCCCGACATATTGAGCCGTTTATGCTCTGTAGCTGATCTCCTTATTATGGTGCCATAACCTGTACACAAACTCAAACTGTGTGCTTTCTCAGTATCATCCAGCATGTTTTCCTGTTCAATCTGCCTGCGTGCCATCACATGCAGCTTCCAAAATCTCCCATCTGCCCCAGCTGAAATGTTGGAGTGCGTAACAACACAACGACAGTAAAGGATGTAAAACTAGGGTGTCGTGGTGCTGCTCAGTGAGGACCTCCAGCATGGCAGCCACAGCGTGTTATGTAAACTGACTTCCTGGCTGATATGCTGCCCCCACCCGTCAGTCTGTCCACTGCCAATTTATCTTCCAGTTTGTTTTTTTCTGTCTCAGGCAGTTAGTCCGCCTGTGTGGCCACCCATCCGTGCATGTTGATCTGTGTGTCTGTGTTTCTGCCTTTCTCACTATCTGTCTCCGCGACAGCCAAATGTCGTATACGCTCGTATACAGCACCCCTCCCTGCATAAGAAGACTAATCTGGGCCACGTGACACTGATTGCATTGCAGCGTTGCCGTTTTTTGACAGTGATATTGACGAATGGCTTCACGAAAAGTGTGGCGAGGAATAGCACCTCGCCGTGATGTGATGCTGATGAAGTCCTAACGAGTTCCATTTATCTGAGCAAGCTGACAGATGTTATCAGGCTGATCGCTACAAACCTGTCAAGCATCGTGTGCGTATCAATTTATGCAGATACACATTTGCACATAGTCTCACTGTGCATGACTGTGTGTTCTGTGTGTACTGCATATGGTTTGTCCATACGTTATACTATATGAGACATTGTGGTGATATTCTCACAGTAAAATAGAATTACTCCTCATCCAATGACAGTTCACAAGTATACAGCCAGTGTGTTTGCAACGCTGTTTATTGGTATTTGTTCATCAAGTCAATTGTCAGTCAAGTATCCGACCCTGCTTGTGATTAATTAAACTGACACGTTGCATCAACATCAAAATCAATCCAGAATATGAGGCTACAAAAAACACCAATTATGTTTTTTACTGTCAGGGGACAAGCATCGATTGTGGTCGTGATAAACAACAGAGATCTATCTACAATTCAAATGATTTAGTGTCTAGACTATGTATCTTATTGCTTTAAATAAAGTGAGATCGACATGTGTACGATTTCACATTATGTTCTAGACTGAATAGAAACTGTGTTTCATTGATGGTCAAACTAACAGCAATTTATATTTTCTCTTCCCAGCCAGCGTTTTCATATCTGTGGTTTTCCTCCAGGAGAAGATGCGCGTCTCTGACATCGTTGGTAAGCAAACGCTCCAGTCTGGATCACTGAGGACATACCTGAGAAGTAACATCTAAAGAGTTCAGACATGTCAAAGTGACTTATCTCAGTGTGAAGTCCATCCTGAGACGGAGATAGAAACATTTGTATACACTTGTTAAAACATCTAATTGCTGTCTGTCTCTGCCAGTGGGGGAAGAAGAAGAAGAAGAAGGCACAATCTATTCAACAGACACCCTATTGTTTTATGAGAAGCTATTGTTTGTCATAACAATTTGTGGAGGGCTGCTAAATGCCGCGGTCGTGTTGGTCGTCACAATGGCGCAGCATCGCAACTGCTGGATTGGAAATGTCTATCAGCACCACACAGCCTGCTGTTGGTTTCCTGGGTTAATCATCAGCACCTTAGCTGTTGACTTGTAATTGCTGTGTGACATTATCAGCCACATATACTGGAAATATGTCATTGTAGGGATGTTTTATTTATGAAGGGGGGAAATACTGAGAGCAGTGACCCGTTTGCAAAAAGTTATACAAACTGACCAAAGATGTAAAAAATGAATGACCAAAACAAAAAAAAGGATGAGAAGTACAAATGAAAGCAGCATTCAGCTTGTGTACATTATTCATGTCTCAATAAATAATGTAAACTGGGAGTTTGTAAAGCACAAGAGTATTCTGAATGGGATCCCTTTGAAAGAGTAACTAAAATGTTGTATTATATAACGTTTACACACACTCAGTGTAACAACTTATAGTGCATGGTACAGCCTTATCACTGCAGCCTTATTGTTGTGCATTAAATTGAGCAGCAACATGCTGATATGTCAAACCAGACAACATAATCCCAGGCCTAAATAAACTACTGTGGCTGCCAGAAATCTAAAACATGCATGTATTTTTTGCACGACAAGAGAAATTTAAAGTTTTGCAGCAGATCTTATAATCACCTTCATTATGCATATGCAGTTTGTCCAGATTTTGAAAACATGACATTATTTGCCACTACAGTAGTTCTGAGACTAGAACCATTTGACCAGAATCTCGCCACCCTTCGCTGTCTCTCCTCCACAGGTGGCTCCCTGGCCATAACAGGGACGTATGTCCTGGTGACGTTTGCCCCCCACACCACCACACCCATCACAGCCCAACTGATCCAGTACTACGTCGTCAGCTGGTACTTCCTGCTTTACCTTGTATGTAACCCTTTAATGAGTCCAGTAATATACATCTGTACATAAGCGTGGTCTCAGAGCTACTGTTGGTATGTCGAGATGGCTCGTTGTATGTTGCATTTTTAGCAGCAGACTGCTGAAATTCCTCAAACATGTCCCTGCATACATACCTGCTCCTGTCCTGCTGTTAGTCAGCCCGTTGTGTTTCATGGAGTTTGAAGTGTGGAGCCAGTCCAGTCATTCTCTATGTTATTCCACTCAGTATCTAAAAAACTACTGCCCCCACCTCATGGTCTGAAAGTGCTTCAACACACACCCATAGGCTCTGCAGGCAGGGATGGCACAGACATAGCTATTACCATAGAGACGGCTTTGAAACAAAGTGCTTTTTCTGAAAACCTGCTTGGCGCTAAAATGTAAATGTTGATGCTATTCTCATCGATGTTTTTAAAAGGAGGATGTCTGCAGCAGAAGGTCATACACATCCTGCTGCGTCTCCATTGATGCCAGGGCTCCCGTGATAGCAGCAGAGAGCCTATGTAGCCTTTCGCATTTCTGATATTTATACACTTTTCATTTCATACAGTATTTTCTTTTATGAACCTGAAAGCTAGCCCGTAGTACAGACAGTGAATGCATGCCCCAGGTAGCAGTGCTGTCATTATTCAGGGAGCAGCGTCTCTCTCAACCATATTCCACTTTCCACTCTCATCGAGCCCTCTATGCTGAACTCGTGTAAACACACTGAGAAACCAAAGAGCTCCTGGATGCAAACCCAAAGAGAAATGTTTAAACGGATGGAAGGAAAACGCAGATGGACGGACAGATGTTTTCACATTGACGTAGGCTCTGCGTCGGGCTGCAGTGTTGGATGGCGTGTGAGAGGGTGCGCTGTTTTCCATTTCTGGCAGTGCATCGTGAATACACATCAGCCCTTCGGAGGAACAACCTCCGGCTGCACGGGATGAAGATGAATCAGAGGGAAGTGAAATATCCAGCGCTGTCTTCTCGTTACTCCCAGAGGTCATACTATTGTCAAACAATTTCATCTGGGAGACTATGAAACAGCGTCGGTGTTATTCACAGTGTGTGCAGTGTTAAGTTCGACATGTATCTCTAAATCCATTTAAATAGGCCCTCTGATTAACATATTCACACAGATACAGGTGGTTTTAAAAGGTCAGCTTGTCCTTGCCTTTTCTCCCCTCAATTCTACCTTTGTACTCCTTCCTTATCCTCCATCCATTCGAGCAGAATGCTGTAGGACTCACGAGGACGGCCCCGGGCCCCTCTTCATTAAAGACACGGCCATTTGTTTCAATTAAAGCTCGCCGCTCACTGCCCGCGTGCAGCACTTTGTTACACAGATAAAACGGGCAGTATAAAGTACAATTTCAGTGCAATTCAGATAGTGCAAAATTGGAGGAAATGGGATTAATGAGTTGTGTATCTGCTCCCTCTCTCTCTCTCTCTCAACAGTTCTTAGAGGTGATCGTCTTTTGTATCCTGCTCTACGTGTACAAGAGGAAGAATGTGAAGCACATCGTCATTGTGATGCTGCTGGTGGCCCTGCTCGGTATGAACAAATGGAAGCTGTCTGGTTGAGGGCAGAGGTTCTGGATTAAGACGTTATTAGGCAGTCAGAGGTTGCTTTTGTTGCCTGGCTACCGAAAACGGATCGCTTTAGTTAAGAGCTGAGCGGAGCGCGATAGAGGGGGGCCTAGTAATTCACTAAAACTCCTCTACAAATCAGCATGACCCGATGAGCAAGTCCTCTATGGCTATATGCTGATGTGTTCTGTTACTTCTCTGTTGCCGCAGCCTCTCAGACAGTCATCTCAGTCAAAGCCGTGTCAGGGATGATCACAGAGTCCATAACAGGCCAGCTACAGCTCATCTACTCCATCTTCTACGTCATGCTCGTCATCATGATCGCCTCCTGCGCCTTCCAGATCAAGTTAGTCAAGATTTTCCTCCCTCTTCCTCTGTGTACCTTCCTTTTCTTCTTTTCCTCTTTCCTCTTTCAGCCTCTTCGCTCAAATCCCTGGTGTTTGCCACAGGCTGTGGATGTAATTTGGACTTTCCAGTTCCTGAACAAACAGGGAAATGATGACACTGCACCTGCAGTATCATGGCGGATGAATAGGCCGCTACGTATTGTCTCTATAACCAAGGTCCTTCTGTTCACTGCAGCTCTCTCCTCTCTCCACAGATTCCTCAATCAGGCAATGAAAATGTTTGATGCCACCGAGGTGGTTCCTATCAACTTTGTGTTTTTCACCGCCAGTGCCATTGTTGCAGGTATGTCACCTTTAAAGCATAATATATAATATAATATGACATAATAATATTGTCAACAAATCCTATGAAAAGACCAAAACCACCAATAAATTGACCCAATACTGTTCTTCTGTGACTAAGACCTCCAGTGTTGTTTGAACAGGTTCCATTATCGCCACTGTAGCTTACTTTGAGTCCTGGTGCCACAGATACAAGCACACTAAATATGTAATAATCTGCAGCTGAATGATGTCCCCAACAAACGATTAATTCAACATGTTCATCAGAGAGGCCTAACTCCTCAGGTCAAAATAAGAAGTGACAGGAGTTACCGTTTCTGACTGGGAAGCAGTGGTATGAGAGGTGCACCTCAGTTTAAATTCAATGCACTGCCCCGCCCCCCGCCCGAGGAATCACTGAGTCACCATCACCACGGCAACCTTTCATTGCTGCCAGACGATTGAGATGAGCTAATTAGTGCAGGTCGACACACACACTGCACGCTTTAAGGCTTTTCTCTCCTTATTTACTCCGTTAGCAAAAATAGAAACTCCATATGTTCCACATCTTTTATATATTACTGGTATTTCTAAACCTTTAAAGGAGAGCAATAGAACTAGAAGTCTTCAAAAGGTTCACAGACTGTGCACATTGGCCCTTTTCACAGCATCTCATAGCAGGGTAATTGATTACGGTCCCTTTCTGATTTGCGTGTCACAGCTGTTCCAGTGAACCAACATGCACTATAGATCCTCTTACAGTGTGTGAAGAACGATGACTTAACCACCGAATGCAACCTGAACAAATAGACTCTCCAGACCTTGGTGCTCTTAGTGAGTGGATAGCATACATTAGCAAGTGGTCCAGTGTTTAGTGGCCAGATATATATACATGGTGGAGAAAGCTATGCAGCGTTACACCAAGGAGACATCACGAGCATACAAGACAAGACAAGTCATTTCGATGCTTCCAACTACGTTTTCTGTGGTCATGATGTACAGAACGTCAAACACCAGGATATGTAATCTAATAGAGTTTTTTTGAATGGGCGCTAGCTGAAAATCACCAGATAACACGGTGACTTGTCCAAATGAAACACCTGTTGCTCTGATCCTGTCAGAACTCTGTTGGAAATATTCATCCTGACAACCGAACATGCAACAACCAGACATTTTGACGCTGGTAAGAGTTTTAGTTCAAAGTTCAAAGCTCGCTAACTCTTCTGGACGGCTCGGTTGAACCAACACTTCTGTCACCAACACGCATGTAAAAGGCTCAACACCAGGGCCTAAATGGAACAGGGCTACAATTAATGTTATTAATTACACCTGTGTTTACCCTGTGACGTTAAAAGGAATGGACACACCCCTCTTTGGCCCTAGTGTTTCAATATAAAAGACACAGGAGGCAACTGTTCCTAACAGGGAACTCTGTATGAGGTTTGTTTTTCAAAATGAAAGCAGGAAGCTCAGGATGAGGTTTGTTTTTCACCCAAATACTTCTTTCTGTCCAACAACTTGCAGTTTTAAAGGATTATTCCACCCAAAAACTTCTAACCAGTTCATTTATTTCACCGTTGATAGTATAGTACAGTTTAGATTCCAGCTTTTCCAAATGAAATTGTTCTTTCCAGGAAAACTCTGACAAATGATTAGTAAGTGTTTCTTAAATGCGCTAAAGATTCTTGTCCTGTATTCACCAATGGGCTGAGGACCTCAAACAGCGAAGGGAAGTCAGAAAGTGTTGCGAGGCATTGTTGATTCCCAACTCAAACACTTGTTCTGATGATGTGCTGGCTCGCTATGATTGAAATCGATTCATGACACAACACGGCCGAACACAACGCAGTCAAGATGGTGATTCACTCCTGTATGTGTTTGAACCACTTAAGAGTCCTGGTTTAGCGAAAGCCCCTCAGTATTCTGTCAGGTCTCCATTATCCTGTCGGTAATGTTCTTTGTTCAATCTGAAAACATCAATTCAGGCTGTTTTTAAAAAGCAGTTTTGCTTTATTATTTAATAGCTTTTATTAGGATTTAAATGGACCCGTCCTTACCAAATTCCTTCTTTTTTTAATCTTCTGGTAGATCAACTGCTGACGACGTGAAGTCATTTCTAGTTATTTCCATTGCCAGTGGAGTGTAATAGCAGACAATGTTCCAGCGGTCCAAAACATCAGTTTTTGGAGCAACAGCTCATTTCCACACTGACGTCCTGTGTCATTACACAGAGAGACATCCGTCACAAGACGTGTGGTGATCTGAGCTACTCGCCTTTTTCTGAGGATCTCCCGCTCTGATATTGCTCTCCCACCCACACACATAACCAGCAGTTGACTGTGTTGAACAACAAACTGCTGATGTATTATATCTGGCAGCATAAGAACATCTGGGGGTGGACTCCTCGTTGAAGATTAGTTTTGTTCCACATTGAAGAAAAAGATTGCTTTTCTCAGGGACGGTGACGTGAGTCGATTAGTTTTCTATTGGAGAGGGTTAATCGGTGACCCATGATCGGCACTCCAGATGATCGACATTAGTCTGGTTGGTATTCTATGAGAAGTGAAATGCATTTTAATATGCTGTCTCCGTTTTGCAGGGATAGTGTTTTACCAGGAATTTGAAGGCTTGGCTTTACTAAACATTTTCATGTTTCTTTTCGGGTAAGTATCCAATCACACGCCAGTATTTGCAGCTCATTAAATAGCAGTATTTACAGTCCCTCCTTGAAACTCCCTGCAGCTGTCTGCTGTCCTTCCTCGGAGTTTTCCTGATAGCCCGAAACAGGCCAAAAATAAAGAAACAAGATTTCATCGCAATGGAGAAGATTCCAAGTGAGTTTTTAAATCCGCCCTTATTCACAATGCCGTGTTACACACATACTCTATCTGTATTGATTGGCCAGCGGTGACCTTGGATTTCTTCGACTGCTAATGTGTGCAGCCCAGGCAGCAGGGTCCATCTAATGAGCTCTGCTGTCTGTGTTCACAGGGAGAAGCCACACAGACCACGTGCAGCCGGAGGCCAAGACTCAGACATACGGCTCGCTGGCAGCCAGACTCATGTGCATCCGGACCCACGACGACTTATAGGGGCTGCAATATTGGGTGGAGTTGTGTGTGTGTGCATAATTCCTCCCGGGTACTTCAATAATATATATTTATAGAAATGAATGGTAGGCATCAATTCACAATTGGTGGCCATATTGGTCTTAGATTTATCAAAAATACTCTTTAAATATACCAGAAATCTCTCAAGTTAAAAGTATTTGTGTTATGTGGAAACATAATTTGAGAAAAAAGGGTCAGGGAGGGCACCGTGGTAAATGTCTTCTAATATAACATGTGTATTAAGTTCATCAGTTGAATAAAAGGGTCTGTGTGATCAGTTGTCAATGAACAAGATCTGCTGTTTCACAGTGTGGAGAGTTCATGAAGTTCAGCTAAACAAGTGCACTGTTGCCCTCTACTGGTGGGGAGGCTCAAAGACGGGCACACGGCTTAGTACATGTGTGGTGGTGATCTGGAGTGAAGTGAATTATCTTCATATGAAATGACAGAAGTAGCTCAGTAGAAGTTATACACTGTAAACCCTCCCTGGTGTCTGTTGCTCACTCATATCCTCCAGCATGCATCTCTCTCAAACCACATTCCAGGAAGATGTAACGGAGCTCTCTTCAAAAGCACTAGTGCCCGGCCATCTTTCCCTCAAATAAACCTCACTCTACTACACTCAACTGCTACCAAACTTTAGTGTTGCTGAGCAACAGAACTCTTACCTGCCACCTACACATTATGGGATGTGTGGGAAACCAGTGTTCATGCCAGTATAGCTATAAAAACAATAGTAAAGCATCAGTTGTTCAGTGCATTTACTTACCAGGGCCAGGCCACGGTGCTGGAACACTTCAACAGAAAGTGACAGCAATTAACCAAAGAGGACAAACTCTGCTAAATGCAGCATGGGTATTTTATTAGCTCATGTTCAAACAAGTTTCAATTCAGTGGCGCTTTTGAAACCGAAACTTTTCTCAAATTCAAAATTCATTCATAAATTCATAGAAATCATTTTGGAAACCCAGTTGTATTTAAGTGATCTCTTTGTGGAGCATTCCTCGGACACAGGCGTCTGTATGAAAACACAACCAGCCTTTCTCAACTGAAACCATGAGGATGCCTTCCAGAGTTAAATATACACAACTAAAAAAAAGATTTGTCCAACAACACCACCAAGTAACTGCATGCCATCAAGTCTTCAGTACCCCATCAGGGCACAGGGATCACTGCGTGAATGAAGCAGCATGCGACTTCATTACAGATCATTTCAGGCCTCTGCGGGACAGAAGCCGTGTTGATCTTCAATCACACCTCTAGGTTGACTTTAGCGAAGCGGTAGTGCAGGGATGCAGGGTTGCGCAACAGCAACGTCCCTCTGTGTCCCACCGGCTGGTTGAGGAGGGTGTTGAGGAGACCGGTCACGCTGACGAACCCCAGCGCCTCCCCGCATCCTGCGGACAGGGAGAAGTCGCCCTGGGTGACCCAGCCTAGCGTCACCCGAGAGCAGTGAGCGGTGACACTCGGCAGAGGGTCCGGCCACAGCCCGAAGGTGAGGTCCGGGGAAGACTGGGGGGAGGATTTGGGCCCTTCAGATGTGGTGGGGTTTGGTTCAGAGTCTGAGGGAGGGTCTGACTCTTTGCCCTCCGTCTCATCTGAACACAGAAATGAGACGGCAGCTGTCTTGGGGCTTTTCTTTCGGCGTCTAATTCGACTTTTAAAGTGGTCTCTGTGCAGCGGCTCCTGGGGGCCGCTGCCGCCGGGCTCTTTGTCCAGCAGCTTCAGGTCCTCCGCGGTCGGCACGCACACCATGGCGTGGAGCTCTGGTCTGCCCTTGGACAGCAGCGACAGGCGCACCCACACCAGACTCGTCCCATGTGCTGAGAGAAACGGCGTCATGGTCGCCTGGTCGAGAGGAGACACGCCGCCACCGCAGCGCACCCTTTGACCTTTAGATGTCGTGGGTCTGCACCAACTGGAGAGCAACCTCAGCGACTTTCTGTTCCTGGGAAGCATTAAAAAAAGAAACAAAAAAACAATATCCATTTAGAAAAGTGATTGATATGCAAAAAGGACCGTTGCATTGAGCACCCCGAGGGACATGCAATTTGGTTGAAGCACATTTTTTAATTCCTAATGCTGAAAAGAAAAAGACAGCCAAACAGCTTATAAAACAAAAACACTGCTGTGTTGAGTTTAGTTCTTGCTGTATGACCGACATCTTTTTAATTTGTAATTATTATTTCAGTACTATGATTTTCACTGTCCTTGTTTTATAAGGACAGTGAAAATCCATCTCATTTTTTCCTCATAGAGTCGGTCGTTACTCAAAGCTGCTGTGATGGTTTTGAGGATAGATGCAGCTCTTCCCCCTCCACTAATCTCTGTGATGTATTGCAGCAATTTAAGGCTGGAAGTACTTTGGGTGTTCTCATCAGAGACGTGATGATGAAAGGGAGGTAGACGGGAGAAGCACCATGCATCTAGCCTGTCAAAAGCTGCGTCGAGTTCTTTTATAAAACAAATAGGAAAGTGATGATTGGAAGCCAACAACCCCCCCCCCACCCCCCCACTAAAAACAGTGAACATTTCTTCTCAAGGGACCTTTAAAAATCAAGTGCATTAATATTGTTAGAAGTGTGATTTAGATGTGCACGATGTAAAATGGAGTTTGTAAAGCTGCAGTGGGTGTGTCTTGAGTCAATACTGACATGAGTTTATTTTCATAATAAGACAAGCGAGAGGATGACAAAAAAGAGGAGAACAAATATTAAGTATACAAGACAAACATGTACCTCAGTACAGTGACTCGGCTCGGAGGCTTTGTGACAGTGACGTCTGGGCATGGCGTCGCCGCCTCCTCCAGCACCACGTCGGCCTCCGTTGCGGTGTGGGTCTGGCCGTCTCCTTCCCGCGCCTCTCCTCCTTCCCGTGCCTCTCCTCCTTCCCTCAAGATGAGCTCCCACTCCTCTGCCAGCTGTTGCCACGGGCAACAGAACGGGGCCAGACAGCCGTGTTTAATGTAATTGGTCCTTTTGGCGGGCGGACGCCTGCGGGAGGGGGGGGTCAGATGGTCAAACCCTTGTCAAGCTGTTTGGGGGCAATCCTGCTAATTTATGAAACCAATCATGACTGCTGCTTGGTTAGATAGTACAGGAAGAGCAGCACGGCGCCTTTATTATCCTTGTGTGTGCAGAGTGGGAATAGATCTGCATATGGGAATTAACCGGGGTCAGAGCTCTGGAGTGCTTCCCTCTAATGCAGGGAAAATGTAATGGTGGTCTAATGGTGTAATAATTAATATAATTTAAAAAAATCGTGAAAGGTGAGTCAAGGTGAAAAAAGAGGAAACATGATGAAAATGATCTGGTCTGGGCTTCACTTGGATTGGCAATGCAGATTGTCCAAAGCCACAGTGCATGGTGTGCAGTGAGGTTCTGGCTAACAGCTGTCTGTCGCCCTCTTATTTACGTCGCCACCTGAACACCAAGAATGCCAGTGCAAGTCAAAAGCCCCTTACATTTTTTTTATATCGAAATTGGAGGAGTTACAAAACAGCCCAAAACAACTGCAGTCTCATTCATGTGTTGGGTCTACAAAAAACACACTACGGGCTTCATATCTGGTCACAGAATAGCAAGAAAGGGGCTACCTCACACAATCGCCGAAGACGTGTGCTTGCCAGCCGCCAAAGAGATGGTGGAATGTATGACTGGAGAGAGAGAAGCAAAAAAGTTGGACGTGATCCCGGTGTCCAACAACACTGTCGCACCGCATCGATGCTTTGTCCGAAGACATCCTGGCTACATTAGTCGGTCGCGTGAAGAAGAGTGAGTTTTACTCTTTGCAAGTAGACGAGCCTACAGATGTGGCTAATCTGGCCAATCTTCTGGTGTACGCCCGTTACCTTTTCGAAGGCACGGTGCAGGAAGATTTTTTGTCTTTTTTATCTTGTAAACAAACGCCACGCGCGAGCAAACTGTTCTCTCATTGGTCCGATTTTTATGCGGCTATAAATAGGCTCTGTTGCTTTTTTTTTTTAAGGTGTGGGGGATTGGGGGTGCGTGAACCCGGTCGGGATGTAGAAGGGGGTGCGTGGCCGAAAAAGTTTGGGAACCGCTGCTCTAATCCACATACGTTCTCACCACTTACCTCGGCTCATGAATGTTACCCTTTCCTAGCAGATGATTGCAGTCATAAAGTGACAGAACACTACAAAGCACCTCCAGCTCGGTCTCATTATCACCTCACTTTGTTTATGAACGGAGAACATTTTCCCTCAGTTTAAAAAGGCTCATGTAAGTCAATGGTTGAATCAAATATATTGAAACAATTCCATCAGTAGGATGGACGTCCTATGTTCTCTTTTCCATCAGCAGGCTGACGTAACAGTGATATGCCAAAATAACATTACAAGATACACAAAAGCTTTGGCAGCACAACATGGCCCTACAGTGATCATAATAATAAATCACACAACTTTCATATTTTGGGTTCTTTCCTGCTCAGTTTTTCAGCTGACCTTTTGAACTTGCCCAGGAGCTGTGCCTCCTGCTCCTCCTGAAAGTGAATACCTGCAGGGCAGTCTGGGTAATCATGGGGGAAGTGTGCGGCTCCTTTATTCTGACAGTGTTTCAGACTCATGGTCAGGCCTCCGATTCGAACTCCTCTGTACACCTTGCAGAGGGAGAGACAAAGCAGAGATGGGTGGACGCTGGAGTTCATGGAACTTGACAAAGTAAGCGAACCTGAGGGCTTCTAGTCCGCCGTTAAATTTCAAGGTACATTTAACATTTCACAGTGCTTGTCCAAACTAAATGGAACCACCCCAAAACACGAACGAACGAGGCAACCCACATAATGAAAACATCTTTCACGGAGCATTCCATACTGACATCCAATGTATTATACACTGTATACATGCGGCCTCGCAGCTCCTCAGTGAAATAACAGGAAACCTGAAAGTTTAGTTTGAACTAGAGTTACTGCCTCTCAGCTGTGGAACTCCACCAACCAGCGGTTTACATCCATGTTTGCCCAAAATGTCATAGCTTCATCATTGTATCCTATTAGACATTCAGGTGAAATTGTCAATTAACACACGAATTATGGTCCAAAACGTGTTAAGTGGAATCTTGTTCCAAATTTGAAGAACTTCCCTCCAGGTGTTCCAGAGATACAACTTTCATGAGAACGGACCGGACATATGGCCTCCTAATCCCAGGGCAACAGGTAAAGAGGCAAAGCTCAGCTTGTATATGGATGACCTGACCCTCATTCTCACAGACAATAGGTCCGTAAGAGACACCTTGTTGATTTGTGACAACTTGACTGCGGCCTCCGGAACCAAAGCTAATAAAGCTAAATGTGGAATTCTCTGCCTAAACTGGAGAGCCAGTGGCACATCTAGGCCTTATACATAAAAAAGATACAATCAAAGTCTTAGGAGTACAAATAGGAAAAGATATGGAAAACACCAATTGGGAGTCCAAATTACCAAAAATGGAGGGGGAAAGCTCCTCCAATGGCAAGACAGGGATCTTTCAATGACTGGGAAAGTCCTGGTTATAAAGCAGAAATCCTTGCCTCCTTGACAACAACCTTTCCAATCCCACATAGGTTCATGATGACCCTTTTCAATTCATATGGGGAGGCCAACACGAGAAACTAAAATGGGAAATAATGTACAGGCCTTTAGAGAAGGGGGTAAAGGTGTCCCAGACATTGAAAGCAAGCTAAAGTCTCTTTGTGACCACAATCATTAAAGCTTGTTTGAAGCCTGAAGCAGCCCCAACTTGGGCCTTTTTTGCTATGTTTTGGGTAGGCCTTGGTGTGCTAAGAGCATGGGGCAAAAGGCCACCACAAACTATCCCATATGATAGTGTTTTCATGCATAAAACAAGGTGTAACCCAACTATCATATGATAAAATCACAAGAACAGAAGTAGAACATGTTCCCCAGAATTAGTATGGTCCAATGTGAATGACTCCATCCTATCAAATAACCAGAGATTTGGCCTGGCAAGTTGTAAACCAGTGTTTGAGAGGAGAAGGTGCACCCGCGTTGCAAAATGCCCTCGGCCATCCTGTGGTGATAGTGAAACACTACAACACCTTTTTTGGTCATGTCCTGCTGCCAGAGGTGTCTGGTTAATAGTGTCACCGTGGCTGCAAGCGTTGTACAGACTTCTGCATTGTTACAATGACATAGCTTATGGCTGCCCACAAATAAAGGGAACAGCTAAGGCTAACAAATGGAGGGCAGTCGTTCACTGTGTAAAAGGTCTATGGAGGGCGAGAAACGTATGGGGGTCATGAGAAGATACAGCATTCCACAGGAAATTGTGGTGAGAACCATGTTAAACATCTTTACAGATTATCTGTTAAAAGACAAGACAAGGAAAAACAAATGTGTTAGTGTGGAGAGTTCCCCGAACTCCTTTTTTCTAAGTAGGAATGTCCCCTCTACTCCTATTTTATTTCTATACTACTACTACTACTACTACTACTACTACTACTACTACTACTACTACTACTACTACTACTACAGGGGAAATAAAATTGTAGGCAGAAATGAAAAGATAATGAAGTGAAATTCACTGCACTGTCCATGCTACCTACCAGTGGGACCCAGAAGGCCATGCCCCATCCTTTGGGAAGCAGCAGGTCCCACCCAGCACCCCAGGAGCTCATCTCATGCCCCACCTGCTTGCCAGGCTGGTGAACCAGCAGGATGGGGACTCGGCCCTGCAGCGGAGTGGGGCTCAGCCTGGAGCCCGGCACCAGCACCTCGGTCTTCATCCGGTTCAGCTTCTGTAGGCAATGCGGAGAACATGCTCGAAGTGAGACACACATCCTAGCTCACCTGTGCTTCTCGGAATAGAGACGATAGGCTAAGATGTTAAGAAAAAGTACAATAACCATCACTGAAAAGTTCGATATGACATTTAACTACCTGCTCGGATATCTTGTTATCCGTGACGTTGTCCCGGACAGACCGCTCCCACAGGGAACTCTGACAGCAGTGTGCCGGCACTCCTCGTAACGCCAGCTCCCTCCTCTGCTCCTCTTCCACCTCTGAAACAAACACACAGCACACACATGGCACGCTCCTGTATGATCGCCATCACTCGCGTCAGAAGAGACGCGTGAAGCTCCCTACGTCTGATCTATAACCCAACATTATTCATATATGATGCAGGTGTGATGAACCCTGAGCCTCCATGAATAGTTTGGTGAAGACACACAGCCAGAAAAACAGCCACATCCACTGGGTTTCACATATGACATTTCCTATTTTAAAACTACAATGTAAATACTGAAGATCCTTAAAATGAGTGTGCAGAAATGAGATTGATCTTGGAGCTACAATGAAGACAGTTATTACAGGATATGGTTGTTGTAATGGTACAGAGTCTGGTGGTGATCGGGATTAAACAGAGAATACTTTGGTGAATGAGAGAAGTTCCAGATACCTTCTCAGCTCTGGAACTGAAAATAAAGATAAAATCAACATGTAACTAACACAATCTATTGGCAAATGCTACAAAACCAGTCACACTTTGGGTAACATTAACCCCAATGCATGTCAGCAAGTGAGCAGCTCCATTAGAGAAAGATTCAAACGTGAATCTCCCATGTTCACGTGTAGTGACATCATTATTTTGTGATATCAAGTCAGACTTGAAGAATACTCCTGGTTATTTTAAGGGCGGGCCTTATTATCCTGGATGTTATTGGCTGCTAATGCTGATCAAGCTGCTGGTAAACGCAAAGCAAAACATGTCTGTGTTGGTTTATCGTTTATTGCAGGGGTCGCCAATTGGCGGGCCGCGGTCCGGATCCGGACCCAGACGCCGTTGTATCCGGACCCAGGACCTAAAATCGATTTTATTTTGACAGGGCGCTTCTATTTTAACCGGCGCAGCTTTTTCAGCCTTTACGGCACTTGTTGAGCGGTGCAGGAAACGCCCCGACCAATGCGTTGTAAATCACATCACGTGATGCGGCTCAGCCAATCCAATATGAGTATTCTGACAAGTTTCCTGACTGGAGTGAGATGTACACACACCGGGGGAGAGACGAGGAAAGAGAAGGAAGAGCAGGAGAATAATACGTGAGTTCACATAACGTTCTCCAAAGAGAGAAAAGTGGTCAGAGAGACCAGAGTCTTTAACCAAGAATGAACAGACTCTTATAGGTTAATTCTTCACACGGACAGTTTATAACCAGTGTGTCTCATATGTTCAGAAACCCTGACGATTATTAAAAGCGGTAAATGAAGCAACACTACGAGACAAAGCACAACTCCTTTGAACAAACGTACCCACTCACATCTAAATGAAGACACAGAAAATAAACCTAAGAGCCCAGTATGATCAGAATCCTAACACATTAATTCACTGCCCAACAATGATGTTAACAGAGAGAATCGAGCTGAAACAAGTGGTTTAATAACCACAGATAAAGTCCATGCACAAACATTTCTCTTGTTAGAAGATGAGAAAAATATAATATTGTGGCTTTTTTATTGACATCACTTCACACCTGAATGAACTGAATTTAAAGCTGCAGGACAATTCAGTGAAATTCATTTTTCTAAAATGAATTACTTTATTTTAAGATGCACATTTTTGAAAAGCTTTCTGTTATGTCAGTTATTCTTTAATCCAGACATTATTTTACTTGAAGGTTTATTGTATCAATGGAAGATTGTAGATGTGTGGAATCCCTTGTGCGAAATTGACCTGTTCGCCTCCCCCACACCACTGATATCTAGTGACAAAGCACTGGCAAAGTAAACAAGGATGTGTAAGCACGGTCATAACGCATTATATGAGAGAACTACAGTACCATCAATGAAACGTCATTCTCTCTGTATTTTTTAAGTTTGACTGGATTTATTTGGCCTCTTATTGTAATCTAGAAATGTGCAAACTGAGAAAAGCTCCACAGTGACGAGATGGACTACGCGTTTTATCAGAAGTGAGCAAAATTAATCGTTTGTTGTCGGCCACTGAGAGTGTGTTTGGAGCACAGGGTCCTGCCAGGATTCGAACCTGGAACATCTGCATGGCCAGGCAGAGGCCCCCTGGAGCACAGAACCAGATGTGTACTCATTGAAACAACCTCATGACCAGAAACAGACTGATTATCTGCTCATCTAGAAAGGTGCTCTCAGTCGAGTGCAGATCTCCACCAGGTGTGTCTGCAACGACCGCTGCTGTAATGTTGATAGAATGAATGAATCTCAGCTACTGAAGCCTTTTAGGCTTCAAATCTATTTTTTCAATAATACGCGCATAAACGTGAGGTTGATAAAAAAATGGCACAGAATAACCGTCTCTGACCGCAGAGCAGCGATGCAGTATGTGTACTTATCAGTAGCAATGCACTAAGCTGTGTGTTTACTGGTAGTTCTGTAAAAATGAGACAGACACGCACGCACGCACACGCACACACACACGCACGCACGCACGCACACACACACACACACACAGATCTCATAACCATAGATATGTCTTATTTAATGCTCAGTTTCTGCTAGCTTGACTATATATATAAGTTTCAATCTATCTGCACACTATATGAAGTACAAAAATTTGACATTAAAAAAACAGAGGGTATGATTTGAGTCTGGGGAAATTGTCTATGGTCGCATACCCTTCTAACCCGGTGTGTCTGTAAACTAACTGCTCACTGTGTGTCTGCTCGGTCAGATTGTACCTTGTGCCTGCTTTACACAGGGTAAAGCTTTAACCTTCGTTGTTGGTAAAGTCAGCCTGGGGTCATCAACAGTCAGACCCAGCACTGTGCCCGAGGGGAGCTCTCCAGTCGAATAGATGCCTGGATGAATCACACAGTCACGGTCAGATGAACATGCACACACATACAGTCAGGGCCATGAGTGCTTGGGCTGTGACACAATTTTTCTAATTTTAACCACATATTGACTGATTAGTTTCAAATCCATTGGAGTTGTGCAAAGAGGCAAAATTAGAGAAATTGTGTCACAGTCCAAATACCTATGGCCCTGACTGTACCTCACTAGACGGCACAAAGTAAGCATTATCTGATGGAATGCGATACTATTTTGATTCACATTGACAAAAAAAACAACAATAGACCTTTCAGCAGGTGAAAGACATCGGCTTGTTGTTGATGCAGGTTCATCTTGCTCTCGTTTCTGCAGTGCTCAGGCCACCAGAGGGAAGAGGGCTGGGATTTAGTCATTTCCTTCAAAAGAAGAACAAAAACCTCATGTAAAACACAGTCCTTCAGAGTGAAATGCAAACAGATTTCATAAGTCTTACATCACAGTCTGTAGCTGCTTCCATAGTTTCTGCCAGAACCGAATGGGACTGTGGTCCAATCAGACGATAGCGCACAATCTCCATTGTGAGATCACTGCAACAGATGTCAAATAAAATAATCCACATCACCATTTGGAGTGAAAATAATGAATTGAAGCCAAACTTTACTCGGTTTGCATCTCAATTAAATTCCATACCAACTACGCTAACCTTATAACTATCCCATTTGAGCTGGACTTCCAGGTAACTGGGGTGGTGGGAGATCTGGTTCCATCTCCCAGGATCTTCTTGGCAGGAGGTTCACTGGCATCTTTACAGGTTCGCTTTCTCTTGGTTCCAGTCATCTGCTTAGCCTCAGGGCTTTTTTCAGGTTTTGTCTCCGGTTCTAGGGCGGGAACAACCTCAGCAGGTGTCACCGCTGGAGCAGCGGGAGGAAGTACAGCCTCACAACACTGGCAGACAGTTTGTAACTCAGCAAGAAGGTCCTGCAGGGAGCACACGTCAACGTAGAGTTAACGTCTTGCTGTCACTCCATTCACTATCATATCAACTACAATTAAACCTTTCACCAAACATTATTGTCAGAATATTACATCCTAAATATTTTCAATTTTCATAAAGCACCCACTGCACCTGTTTAATAGTGGGATGAGCCCAAATCCATAGCTGCCTGTGGGTTGAGCCCTGTGCACGGGGTCTCCAGAGGAAGGTGACAGGGCCCAGGGGCTGCATCGGGTACTGTCCTGCTCTGTACACCACCACACTGCCCTGTCTCTGCCCTGATAGACACAGTGCTGCAGCAAATGTGGGACCTGGAAGACACACACCACTCCCATATCACGCCAATTGTTCCAACAAACCTTTTAAAATTTTACCTCTGGGAAAATACGCTCACATTCCTAATATGTTGGAGCATTAATTAAAGACCAAATGTGTGTATTTGTGGTTGGTGTAGGGCGTATTCTCACCAGTCTCCTTGCTGATTAGCTGGGACAGAGAAGCCAGCAGCTTGTCTTCCTCTCCCTGTAGCTCTATGCAGCAGTAGTAAGACAGGTCCTGAGCCAACAAAACCAAAACAAGGTCACGCTTGTCGTACTGGCAGTGAAATCCCATTAACGACATCCTAATTTTGGGACAAAAATGAAAGCCAGTTACCTGCAGCAGACAGTGGTTGCTCATTGCCCTGTAGCTAGGCCGGTAGCACTTGTATGTGGGTCTGTCCCCGAGGCAGTAGCCCCACTTTTTCACCATGTGGAAGCGCTTGGCGTGCCAGATGTGCGTCTCCAGCCACACGTTCTTCCTCTGCCGGCGGTTGAACTCCAGCAGCAGATTTCCGTGCCGGCGGCGGGCCTTGCGGCTCCTGCCCTTTGCCTCTTCCTTCTTCTTCTTGGAGCCGGCCTGGAAGCTCTTCTCTCGCTGGAGGAGGGAGGACACAGAAATGTCACTGTGCTCGGAGAAGGACAGTCGGCTTATGGAACACCAGACGTAGAACGACAGTGGATCGTCAAGGTGCGAAGAAGAAATATTCAGAGCTTTACCATTCTGTTGGCCACATCTCTTAGCCTGCAAGGGAGCCGCTTGGTGTTGTGGCTCATGGCCCGTCTCCTCATGTGTTTGGGCAGGGCTCCAAACACATGGCAGCTGCCCGTTGTCTTGGTGACGGCTTTCAGCATGGCGCTCACCTCCGCCGCTCTCACCCTGGCAAAAGCTCCAGCTGAGTTTGGATGGGAGCAGGGGAGAAGGGAGAAGGCACTGAATTTAATGCATCAGTAATCCAACTATCACATTGCATTTGCAGTGTTCCAAGTTAGTGTGTTTACTTACACACGAAAGCAATGGATCTAGGAGTAAAATCTGATCATTTTCTATAAGAAATGGTGTACGATGGATCTCAATAGCTATTCACACGGGGCGGTGGAGACATTATGCAATCTTTGAAGACAAAAAAAACCTTATTTACTGCATGCAGTAAAATGTGAGTTGGTAGGATTGGGACAACGTCTTTACCAGTGATGTACTTGGGCATCTCCTTGGCGTAGTCTCCACCATCCCACTGGTGTCCTCGGACCCATCCCCCCCGCTGGGGACGGTTCTTTGTCCTTTCTGTGTTTGGATGGACGCCAGATGGACCCTCACCACCACCTGTTGGAAGATCATTACTTTGTCATATTCCTCATGCTTTAAGAATGTGAGAAGCACAGAAATGTAAGAAGAGGAGCCCTGTGTCAAAATCTGTTTTTAACCTTTATCATTGTTAATATTACTGTGCTTTTAAAATCATAGCATATTCTTACACTAATTTCTGTTTTGAATATTTCAGCATAGGAGCCCACAGCTCATTTTACCCAGAGATCCCCCAATGAGTTCATTCGAATAAATTCGAGATGTAAGATCCACTCTGGCCCAGAGAAGACGGAGAATGGAGAAGTTGAAGGCAGTAAAATTAGAGCTAACATGGACTGTGTGCTGTATATAAGAGACGTGTTGATGGTCATGTTGACTGATTCACAGAGACATGCAGAGATAGAATTAAACGATGGTGTCGGTCAGGACGCAGACGGAAATCTGGTGACGAGGTCAAGGAGAGCACGAGGAGTGCAGAGGGCGCATACAGCATCACACGAACAGAGGCAGACATGTTGGACCGGAACAGATAAAAAGAGAAAACACAGTACCGGTGACCGGAGTGTCCTCCCCGTTCTTCTGGGACGAGGATGTGTACTGAACACTGGCGGGCTGGTTTCTCATCTTCTTCTCGCGCATCTTCACTTTAGCTGCAGACATTTTCTACAGAAAACAACAGGGCACGTTTTAGACGCCAGCTGACAGCCTGGCCGATTAGCTACACGAGAGGCTGACACTTCAAACACCAGCGTGACTTGCCAGTATCAGCTATTGCTCGCGTTAGCAGCTAGCTAGGCTCCTTTACTCCACGTTAAGTTGTGGTTTGTTTAGCTAGCTAATTAACACCAACGAATACGATACATCTAACAGAAGGTATAGCATGGTGCCACAGCATATGTTCACCTCTAGATTCGCCAGTATTATAGTACGTCAGAAACTTTGCTCAAAGTGTAGACGTCCTCTCTACTTCCAGTCAGTTACCATGTGAGTTTTCCTCACGTTGGTTGACGTAATGTTGCTTCCTGACACGTGGTGTTCATGGGAAATGTAGTGTATCGGCGCAACTAAAAGTTATAATGCAAACCGACCGCAATTTTTCTTGAAATCATGGCCTTTCGTCACGAGTAACGTTAAATATTGATCGAGCATACATATTTCAATATTATGACAAATAGTGTGAACAAAAGTAGAAAATAAAAAACGTGTTTGCGCGTCTAAAACGTAATTTACAGTAGCGCCGCTCTTACGTAACCCAGTCCCCAGTGCCCTTGTAGCCTTTTCTTCTCCTTGCTTACGCTCCGCTACAGCACTTGTTTCATTCACTTGGTTTCGTTCACATATTCCTAAATAAAATGGCTGCATTAATCAGGAGGATCATCAGCACAACCAAAGCTCCTGCTGCTATCGGCCCGTACAGGTGAGGACAGCTCGGACCGAGTTACAGCTCGCACAAACAGCTGACTCAGTAGCAGTCAAATGACATTCATAGACATTCAGCAACATTGTTGGTACGATGTTAAGAGAGTCATTGCTATTATTGGTATTCTTCAATATAATCATATAGCGGTGTTTAAGTGCACTGGGGAGTGCGCTGTGTCGTTCAGGAAGTTAGTGGCTGCAGGTCGGGCAGCAGTCACCCAATGAGATGTCTGGGATTAAAGTGCATTTTTTAGATTGCCTAAACTTTGAAAACAGCAAACTGTGCTCAAAGTATTGCAGTGCTCCTTATGAAGTGTAGTATGACAGCATTAACATGTTGGGTCAAATTGTACATGGCTTCACCTTGACTTGCAGATAATATACTAATTCATAGTTACATGGACTCTGGGAGTTAAGAGAGAAAAGCAAGTGGAGGTATAGTATTTGAACCTAAATCTCTACTGTCCGTCTGCTCTCCATCTGCAGCAGTGAAAAAACTCCAGAAAGGACAACAGGATTTTTCACTCTTTCTGATCGAGGTAACCCGGCCTTTAATCCCATGTAGCTGACCCTTTGTCCATGTTTGTGTGTCACCCAGCCAAGCGGTGCTGGTGGATCGGACCATGTACATCTCAGGACAGCTGGGGATGAATCCTGCCAGTGGACAGTTGGTGGAAGGGGGTGTTCAGGCCCAAACCAGACAGGTGACCCACCACGAAACACCCTCCCATCAGTCATTCATTCATAAACAAGGAGCACTGCAAAATCCAATATACAGTTGTGTGAAAGTGTTTGCCCCCTTCCTGATTTCTTATTTTTTTGCATGTTTGTCACACTTAAATGTTTCAGATCATCAAACAAATTTAAATATTAGACAAAGATAACACAAGTAAACACAAAATGCAGTTTTTAAATGAAGGTTTTTATTATTAAGGGGGAAAAAAATCCAAACCTACATGGCCCTGTGTGAAAAAGTGATTGCCCCCCCCTGTTAAAACATAAATTAACTGTGGTTTATCACATCTTTGGAAAGCTGAGTTCAATTTCTCTAGCCACACCCAGGCCTGATTACTGCCACACCTGTTCTCAATCAAGAAATCACTTAAATAGGACCTGCCTGACAAAGTGAGGTAGACCAAAAGATCCTCAAAAGCTAGACATCATGCTGCGATCCAAAGAAATTCAGGAACAAATGAGAAACAAAGTAATTGAGATCTATCAGTCTGGAAAAGGTTACAAAGCCATTTCTAAAGCTTTGGGACTCCAGCGAACCACAGTGAGAGCCATTATCCAAAAATGGCGAAAACATGGAACAGTGGTGAACCTTCCCAGGAGTGGCCGGCTGACCAAAATTACCCCAAGAGGTCACAAAAGACCCCAGAACAACATCCAAAGAACTGCAGGCCTCACTTGCCTCAATTAAGGTCAGTGTTCATGACTCCACCATAAGAAAGAGACTGGGCAAAAATGGCCTGCATGGCAGAGTTCCAAGACGAAAACCACTGCTGAGCAAAAAGAACATAAAGGCTCGTCTCAGTTTTGCCAGAAAACATCTTGATGATCCCCAAGACTTTTGGGAAAATACTCTGTGGACTGACGAGACAAAAGTTGAACTTTTTGGAAGGTCTATGTCCCATTACATCTGGCGTAAAAGTAGCATGGCATTTCAGAAAAAGAACATCATACCAACAGTAAAATATGGTGGTGGTAGTGTGATGGTCTGGGGCTGTTTTGCTGCTTCAGGACCTGGAAGACTTGCTGTGGTAAATGGAACCATTAATTCTGCTGTCTACCAAAAAATCCTGAAGGAGAATGTCCGGCCATCTGTTCGTGACCTCAAGCTGAAGTGCACTTGGGTTCTGCAGCAGGACAATGATTCAAAACACACCAGCAAGTCCACCTCTGAATGGCTTAAGAAAAACAAAATGAAGACTTTGGAGTGGCCTAGTCAAAGTCCCGACCTGAATCCGATTGAGATGCAGTGGCATGACCTTAAAAAGGCGGTTCATGCTCGAAAACCCTCCAATGTGGCTGAATTACAACAATTCTGCAGAGATGAGTGGGCCAAAATTCCTCTACAGCGCTGTAAAAGACTCATTGCCAGTTATCGCAAACGCTTGATTGCAGTTGTTGCTGCTAAGGGTGGCCCAACCAGTTATTAGGTTTAGGGGGCAATCACTTTTTCACACAGGGCCATGTAGGTTTGGATTTTTTTTTCCCCCTTAATAATAAAAACCTTCATTTAAAAACTGCATTTTGTGTTTACTTGTGTTATCTTTGTCTCATATTTAAATTTGTTTGATGATCTGAAACATTTAAGTGTGACAAACATGCAAAAAAATAAGAAATCAGGAAGGGGGCAAACACTTTTTCACACAACTGTATTTAGGTTGTTTACTGTAATGATTAATATGGATGTGGTTTCTTGTTCCTCCACTTTATTCTGGTCACTAAATTAATCTCTAAGGTTTCTCATAGTCTATTCGAGAGGATGCTACGTGTAGAAGTAGAATTGATTATTGAGAGTAAATTGATCCAGTCTTCAGGGGCTTGCTCTCATCTCATTTACATCTCTTATTCTATCAGCTCGTCTCACAAATGAGCAAATCTAAATGAAACAAAACGGAGCACTCGCATCTGGAAATTCTTTTCCCGCAGGCTCTTGTGAATATGGGTGAGATCCTTAAAGTGGCTGGGTGCGGTTATGAGAACGGTGAGGAAAAAATAAACTCTTAAGTTCACACGGGGGAGAACTGTTTTATCACAGGTGTCAACATCCACTTTTTCATTGTCCGCTGCAGTTGTCAAAACCACAGTGCTCTTAGCCGACATGAATGACTTCACCAGTGTCAACGACGTCTACGAGCAGTGTAAGTATCACTCATTCACTTATCAATAGGATTTTTTAATCGCTGCTGAGCCATGGTAAAAACAAACACTTCTTGAGCTTAATTAGGTTCAACACTTCTACTTGCAATACATACTTCCCCACTGGGTGTCAGCACAAGCCAGGGAACCTGCATTAACCAGGCGCACACACTGGTTACTACATAGGTGATGGTCACGGTCTTGCTGCATACTGGCTTCATTCTTACTGTTCACACGGTTCATTAGTCACATGTTTTAAGTGCTAAACTGCTGTTATACACCATTTATTCATTCACTGTAAATGCCACTATATTTGTCCAGGCATGTCCTTGAGATAATTGTTCTCCTTGAATTAGCCTCCTTGTATTGTAAATATGTCGAGAGCCCATTCAGAGGTATGAAACCAGCTGTTTATCACCACAGAGACAGCTGATGTTTGCCGAGTCACTAAGCAGAGGGAAACCTGAGCTGCTGCCAGCGGTTTAAGCCTTAAATGTCAGACAACACGCACATCTGATGCTCCACACAGACCAAATACTCCAATAATAAAACTCACATGGCAGACCCAGAAATATTCAACATGGAGAGTTTGACTTTCGTCTACATTCACCGTATTCCTTTCAGTGTCATGGGAAGTAGTTTCTAAACAAAAGGAATTATTTGGATTTTCCATTGATGACGTTTCTGTAAGGGCTCCTTCAGCCGTGTCCCAGTTCAAACTACCTGACCTATACAGGTTTATTACATCAGGAAGTGGTGGAAATGTGCACGTGCTGCAGTAAAAGGGAAACTTTGGAAAGGTTCTGCCAATTCACTGAGAGGTGATTTAGCTTTCTCTTTGAGAGTCAATATTCTGACTTTGCGTGTCTGTTCAGCATTAGTGTTGCCTCAAAACAGCAGGAGGATTTTTCTTAATTAGACTCCTACCTGACACTAAATGTTAGGATCAACAAAAGCTTTCATAAGCTGAAGGTTCTGTAACAAAAGACCTGTTCACCGACATGCCTCTGCAGGAAGAGCACAGGTGTAGATGATAACTCTAACGAATGCTTGAGCAGACTGAGCCCCTAATTAGTGTTGTTGGTTACACCTGTGTTTTACCTACTGTGACAGTCAAAGCACCTGCAGTGCAAAAAATGCTTTTTATTTCATATTAGTCAGTGATGAGCGTTTCATATTAACATGTTGCCTGTTATAACTTAAAATCAGAGGTGTGTCAGATCTTTAATTAGTTTGGAGTAAATAACATCCTTCATAAGAAATAACAAGTTCCGCTACTGTTCACCAGGATTGTTTAACAGTCTGTTTAATTTGAAGATGTTTAAATGTGTGTGTCGTAACCATTAAACGTACTGCTCTGTAGTCTTCAGCACTAACTACCCAGCCAGAGCTGCCTACCAGGTGGCTGCTCTCCCCAGAGTGAGTATTTGATAAACACTCATTTCCATTGATTCTATGGTGGATTCATCAAACTGGAAACAGTGTTGATGTTCTTTCTTTTTATTTTTCCTAGGGTGGACTGGTTGAGATTGAAGCAGTTGCTGTATTAGGCCCTCTGACCGATGCTTCCTAACAACTTCTATCAACCCCCCCCCCCCCACAAAAAAAACATGACTTAACATTATACAGCGTGTGCCTTGCTTTGTGGAGCCGTCAACAATTGATGAAACAAAATTCCTACAGAGCACTAACGGTACACTTTCTCCTCTCTCATTGATGTTGATGAGACGTGTGTGGAGACAACGCTGCATTTTAAATTCCCTCTGCTCATGTTTCACTTACACTAGCTGATAAGTGTCCAAGCTTGCTTGCTCTTATTAAATGACACTACCGTGTATCCTCTCTCACTGTACCAGAGGATGGATGATCAAAAATTACTCAACAATAAATGATTTTTAATTTGCTTAAGTGGCGATTTGTTTCCTTGATATCAACTAAATTATTTCTGGTTTATACTATGAGCATAGTTTATCAAATATATTCCTTCATTTATTCGACTTAAAGGGCACACAGCATGCTCATTTTTAGGTTCATACTTGTATTTTGGGTTTCTACTGTAACATGTTCACATGTATTAATGTTCATAAAACACTTTATTTTTCTCATACTGTCTGTCTGAATACACCTGTATTCACCCTCTGTCTGAAAGGCTCCGTTTTAGCTCCTGTCCCTTTAAGACCCCCTATTCCCTTGTTGAATTATGTCTTATGATCACGGAGGCAACAAAAAAAAAAAATCGGAGTTGTCTTCTTTCAGTTTGGTCGGCACTCCAGATCCCCAAATGTTTGTGCACAGAAATGAACAAAAGTGAGTCTTTCATGATTTGTCCCCTTTAAACCAATAGTCCCTGAGAAAGACCAACACACATCTTTAAAATATGGACTCTTTCTCAATGCTTCGACTCTAGAGCCACGTTTGTATCACTGCGATCGGTTAACATGTGACGTGTGCATGTTTTTTTTGAAAATATGTAACATGGTGGTTTGCATAACTAAAATACAGTTTCATTTTAAAAAAGCACATGTATTAGTGAGTAAAACTTTATTCTGTACACTAGGTTAGCAGAATCATAGCCAAAGATCAGAAAAGGAATATATTACAGAGAAAGAAATGGATGAAAAAAAGAAAGATATCAGACATCAAATTTTGTTCCCACAACGTCCATCACATCCTACACAGTTGAAATTATTTTCTGAGAGATTTGCACTTTAATGACACAGCATGTATAACTAATGATCATTTAAAAAGCATGTCCACTGGGTGATCTGCTGCGGAAGCAGAGAAAGGCCGTGCTTACAATACATATTTTTTGTAATGCCATAATCTCGAGATCACAAATTAATAATTGAATTATCTTGAGGAAGCAAGCTTTGTTATCTCTGAGAAAACAAGATAATCTTCCAGTTATCAAGAGAATTCAAAGGCTGAATTCCTCTTATTACTTCTGTTAGAGATCACATGCAGATCAGTCCTCAATAGCCCGGCTGCAAATAAATAAGTTAAAGCTTTAATTACACAGGTGTCAGGTCTGATCAAACAAATCACTAATTTTTGAGTTCCCCATAATTATTTTTGTGATCTCAAGAAAAAGTTTTTCTCGTGATGAAGCACCTCGTTATCTTGAGAAATCTGCCTTTTGTTCTGAGAAAACAAGCTTTATCTCAAGATAAGAAAAATAATGAACTTGTGATTTATTGATAGACATTAAAAGCAAGCATGGCCTTTCCCAGCTTCCGTAAGTGTGATCAAATTAACCAGACACTGATTTTCGAGTTCTCAATTATCACGTGATGAAGCACCTCGTCATCTTGAGATCTGCCTTTTGTTTTCTGAATCAACATAAATTAACACCGTTAACACGTGAAAGCAAGCTTTCTTGTCTCGAGATAACACTATTACCTCTTGATCCCGAGATAAATTGTCATTACTGAACTTCTGCAAATGCATCTTATCATCTGCATGCAATTTTTTTCATCCTTATGCAAAAAAACATTTTATTCAGGATTTTTCCTTTGAATTTGATAAGGTAATATCAAAAAAATATTTTTGAAGGAAACATGGATTTGACTTACAGTAGTGCTTATCAGTATTGCACTGTACACACCGTCAACATTTAGTACTGTCACTCCTATTAATTAAATGAAGGCTGCAATTAAATTCTGTCATAAATACACATTTTTGTCTGGTGTTTTACACGTTATTTAGACTTCATAACACCTAAAAATTCAATCTGAAAATGTGATACTTTAAAATCAGTTTTATGCAGGTGATAAAGTTCATCCACAGTTTGGTGTTGCCATCACCTCAAACTCCTTGCATAATTGTATTCACAGTTGGGTTTGGCTTGTATTCCTCAGAAGCAGCTGTAATAGACAAGGACTCACTTCCTTCCCCTAGTTCATCACGTTGTCATAAGAGTTCACAGAATATTACACCCATCAAGTGTTTGTAGAACATTTTCTTTGCACAGGTTTGTGTGTGTAGAGTATGTGGCCCAAGGCACTTAAGGTTTGTATTTACAAATGTAGACAAATGTCATGTTATTAAGGCACAGCACATATTAATGCATGCATTGAACAGTGTGGTGAGCGCTGGTGACAATGCTGAAAAATGTAGCGTTTATTGCTTCGTCTTGTTTTTGTTCCCGACCAATGGCAGCTTTGGGGTTTTCTGTCATTTTGGTGCAACTCTTCTCTCTGAAAGAAGATAGTTTGATAGTTAGTGAACATTCTTTTGTATAAGATTCACCCAGTTTTCACCCCCCAAAAAGTTGTTTATGGGCACTGTACATTCAAAGGAGACTACTCAGCGTACTAGATACGGAGTTGCTCAGTATGTGTATCGGGTTTAGGTGTGGATTGTGGTTGTGCTCTTACCGACTCAATCCTCCTTTTTGACTTTCTCGCTCTCCGTAACCTGAGAGGCCTCAGCTGCAGACACAAACACACATTGAGAAGATTTATGATACGGTACAGGTCACATTGTAGTCTTTCATGCTGAGGAAACCTTTAGCTTGTTAAACACGTGATCTTACCATCACCAAACTAAAAACACGACTGCTGTAACATTGCACTACAAAGAGAAGTTGAAGAGCTAGCATTCCCTTTTTAGCCCTCTGGTTCTGCTGAACTGGTTTCTCAGTGTTTTACCTGGCTTCTCAGCATACAATACTGTAATTGGCCTGGTATGCACATAGCATAGCCTCCAGCGAGAGTCTCATAAACGTTATGCAATATGTCTTTCACACCAGACCAGTATTCTACATGTGCTGCCTGGAGGGGCGTCTCTGCCCTAAAAGTACAGCGTGTTCTCTAAGAGTCAAGAGTGGGGTGCAGGAGGGGCTAAAAAAACACAGACCACTGGAGGTACTGTGCATTTAATGAGTTTAGGATGCAGAATGCACACTTGGTGCACCGATTTTGAATACGTTGGGTATCTCACAGGCTATAACCAGACAATCACTGTGCTTCAGTTATCAGGGAACAAACAGCATCATCACAACATACTCTAAATGAAATCAAACCAAGAATGATGTGAAACTGAATGAGTGAGCAGAATCTGAGTAATCACAAACATGACGACTGACTAAGATTCTCTATAAAATCCGCCCTGTAAATGGTTTGAACTCCTCACGTTGTGCGACGCCTGGAATGCAGTCAGGCATGCTGCAATGAGAAGCAGCAGGCCATGATCACTCTGGAGTCACTTCACAATGGAAGACAATGAGCGAGAGTTGCGTGACTGGATCCGTTGTGCTGACAACATGCTCCCTCCTGTTATAATCGACACGCTCGAGAAAGGCGAGCCTTCACTTCTCAGCGAGCGAGCGCGAGCCTTCACTCGAGAGAGAGAGCGAGCGAGCCTTCACTCGAGAGAGAGAGAGAGAGAGAGAGAGAGAGAGAGAGCGCGAGCGCGAGCCTTCACTCGAGAGAGAGAGAGAGAGAGAGAGAGAGAGAGAG